CCCACACACACTACCGTATAACAAATGGCAATATTTTACAGTCAATACTTGCATGCAAGATCAGGCTGCAGTCCCCCCACCTCATAATGGTTTTTTCCAAACAAAATAGTGCTTTCTAGCTCGCGCCGAGATATCTTTCTGTGTTTGAAACCATTTTCCCGAACTCGAAAAAACTATGCCTAAATAATTATATTTTGCTACAATTTCAATTTCTTTACCCTCAGAAACCATTTTTCATCAAATGAAACATAAATAATCAATAATAGGTGCTGACATTTGTACTCTCTTGTCTCAGGTACGTTCGACTACGTCATTGTTGGCGCAGGCCCTGCTGGGCTTCAGATGGGTTACTTCATGGAGAAAAATAAGCGTAGTTACGTTATTTTGGAAGACAAAGACATACCAGGTTCGTTTTTCAAAAAACACCCAGTGCATCGTACTTTGATATCGCTCAATAAAAGATTCAATCCATTCCCGGAACCAGAATTCAACATGCGACATGACTGGAACTCGTTGTTGAGCGATGATCCTGAACTCCTCTTCACTAAATACTCAAAAGAGCTGTTCCCACATGCCGATGATTTGGTTCGCTACATGAATGATTACGCCGCCAAGTTCAAGCTCAATATTCATTACAATACTCGAGTGGAGAAGATAAAGAAACTAGAAAATCAGGCCAAATCTGGTGACAATTTCGCACTGCTGACATGGAAAGGCGAATACAAATGCAAAGTTCTGTTGATGGCGACCGGTGCTCGCTCTGAAAAAATCCCCAAACACATCAAAGGCAAAGAGCTCATGGAGACGTACTCTACACACGACGTCGACCCCGAGAAATACAACGGGAAATCCGTATTTATTCTTGGTAATGGCAACAGTGCTTTCGAAGCGGCTAACAACCTTGCTGGGTCAGCTAGTTTGATACATATATTTGGAGATCGGAAGTTAAAGCATGCTTGGGACACTCACTTTGTAGGTAAGTTAATATGATGTTTCAGGTAATTCAGCATTTATCACATACCACATGGTAATGTGATGTTCAGTCGACATTCTTGTACACTAAGCACCACCCATATTCAATATTCCATATTTGGTGAACACCCCAGATGTTATGCCATACTTTATTCAATATTTTATATTTACTAATTCGACATTATATTATGCACACATAATCAATCATAATATTTCGTGTCTGCTCTTAATTCGACATTCCATATATGACATGGCTTTCATACATGTATCTGATGCACAGTTCTAACTTTCTTCGACAGGTGACCTTAGAGCTGTTAACGATACTATACTTGACATGTACCAGTTGAAATCTCTGCACGTTTACCAGGCACTAGACTTATTATCTGTGGAGAAAACAGACAAAGGTTTTGTTCTTACTTGTGACGATATTGTTCCTCACTGGAAAGAAAGACAAGGCCATGTGCAGTTTGAATTACCTCCATATGATCACGTGATCTGCTGTACGGGATTCAATTATATTGATTTGTCAATATTTGACGACAATTGCAAACCAGGTAAGCATTAAATATTTTCGATTAACTGTTTAATCGAATTTGATAGCTAGTCATACTGAAATATACAGTTATGTTCTAAGTTTTATCTGGAAATGAATAAATTAATCATATCGACCAGCGCCATGTTATTATTATTTAGCCAATGGACACAGACTACATAATTTATTATTATCACGTTATTTATATTAAACCAGTGTGTTTATATATTATGAATACTCCATATCTGATTGGTCTACTAGCACAAATCAATTAAATATAATCCAAGTGTGCTAAAATAGCCCAAGTATGAAATGTATTGGTGTACTACTAACTCAAAACTTTTTCCCTCTCCAATATTCTCATACAGAGACCAAGCAGGACGACAAGTTTCCATGTGTGTCCAACATATGGGAAACTAACGTTCCCAATATGTTTTATATGGGCACAACAATGCAGTGCAACGACAGGAAAGCTGCATCCGGGTTTATTCATGGTTTCCGATACAACATACGTACATTGAGCAAGTTCCTTGAAGAACGTTACGAAGAAGTCCCATACCCACGCGACTTTCTTCCAATTGAAGTAGACGCACTCTCGGACAAAATCATGGGTAAATAACATACGCCATCAGAATAATATGCGTATATGTATTGAGATGATTGTCATAAAATGCATCTAGAACACGTTTATGTAGAAAATGATTGAACTCCGCTCGAGCACCTATAATTAGGAATTAATAGTATAATTAAACAGATAATAATTAAAGATTTCTTTGGTTTCAGAACGTGTAAGTGTCAGTGATGGTATATATCAAATGAATAACGTGTTGTGTCACGTGTTAGCTATTCCCGACTTCAATGACAACACAAAGGGAGAAGTTAAAGCTGAATTCTTCCAAGAATTTCCTAAATCATATGTACTTGAAAACCTGAAAGGAAGGTTCTCAAAATACAAGCACGTCTTCCTTATTGTACTTGCGTACGGATTCGAATAGTAAGTGACATCATTGTAATTATAATCGGAACGAGTTGATGAAATGACGGATAACCATTGGACGATACAATGAAATGGTTAAATGTCATAATATTTAATAATAATAATAATAATAATAATAATAATAATAATGTTTATTTCCAAAGTACCATTGGCCGCCGGCCCTAAGTACACTCAAAGATACATCACTAGTATTATAAACATTATTATTATTATTATAATATAACTTAAAGGCAAAATGCAATAGTCAATGGCCAATGTTGAGAGAGATCGGTTTTGGCCATCACCGTGACTAATAAAAGTAATCGTGCGTAACAGTTCTGACGCATGATTTTTTGTATACTGAACATTACATTTTGAATCAGTGTCTCTCTTAATAAGAGTAAATAATTCGTGCATCCATCCAATTTTAATGTACCTAATAATTCCCAACTATAATTTCTAAACATTTTAAGGTTTGTCCGTTTTCCCAACCAAATGGCCATGATTTCGGAGCTAAACGCTACGGGGTACAACTACCGTATGTTTATCACCGGAACTGACTAGTAGAATATACACTATCAAAAAGTAAATAAGCTCAGGAAATAGTCACGAATGTATGATTTATTTGCTACCATCTATTCTCTGGGGTCAGATGAACTCTTTGATGGCATTTCTGGTCGAATCAATATGTGGAACACATGAGAGAACAAATGTATACCACAAAAATATCTACATATTGGAAACATTTGTAGCCATTCCATTTGATTGTTACTTTGATTGTTCTGACACATTTACTGATCTCTCGAGGACGAATTCTTCAAATGCATCATTTGTTACGGATAGCCATGTTAAAAGTTGCTGAGATTCCATTCCAATCCTGTGTAAATACTGTAACATGTCAATCTGAATTACAACGAGTTCTCGCATGTATTTACTATCATATCCCCAAGTGTTATTTCTCGACGTACAATAAAAATAATCTAATGTTTTTTTAATAGCTTTGGAGATGCAGGCAAGTACGCCATGGAATTCGTACATTTTCCCGATCTACCTAAAGGTGATTGTCAGGCATTTCTGCATCCAGTAATTACCTATTACAAGGATGGTGAGGAGATAGATTTCGTGAGATTACCCGAGTCTTTGGTTCTGAGATTCGACCTTCCCACAGTAAGAAACCAAAACCCTCTACATGGACCAAATAGGATGAAGAATTTCCTCAACAAACAGGTGAGTAGAGTAGCAGTCTAAACGTTACTCTTTCATTATTTATTATATATATTGTCTCCTATATGACAACATGCAGTATACATGTTCTCGTCCGCATTGCAGTTTTGAAGATACAAATCCTTTTTCGTCCTCGACCGAGGCGTTGATATCGTTCAATGATTTACTTATATATTACGTGTACACTATATTACAGCTGAATTTGATGCCTGGCAAAGAATACTACGACGGCTTCTTCATGGAGTCAATGGAAGAGAGAATTACCCCGTTTACAGAAAAAGAGAAAATGAGATTACCGGACCTGAGCGTGTACAAGGCGTGTTTGCCGTACAGTATCGACTTCAAGTCGGCAGCATCTTAAATAACTTGTACACACCAACACATCACTGTACGTCAAGTGGGTCATAATAATAACACGATATGATACAAATGCTAATTATGTTTTCACATAAAACGTGCACTAATCTGCACACACTTTTGGTTATTATATATTTCGATCTTTGTCTGAAATAAAGTGGTACAATACTCACTCTGTACACGAGGGATGTGATTAATATAGTAATGTTATATTATATAACTTTATAATAAGTGTTTTCAGCAACTAAATACTATGAAGCGTATTGTATCACCATTGACATAATAACGAACATTTCGTAATAATCAGAGCGAATTTGCATTATTCACTGTTTCTGAAGAAATTATACTATAACATATTATAGAATTGAATAGACTATTCGACAGAAATAGTGAACTCACCTCACCGAAGGAACTGTTTTACCTCATTTACATATTTGTATATCACTATTCAACAGGAAATAACAGAGTAATCTGTAGTTACATATTATGTAATTACTATAGAGAACAGCCTGTAATTGTTGTATATGTTTGGATGACAATGTACACGGATAGAAGATACAATTAAACTAATAATGGTGCAAAGAAAATCTAAGTCTTACAATTGTTATATGTTATATCACTTATGTCTAACTTATTCGTCATATTGAAATCTAAAGTGCTCTTGTCAGTTACGTTCTATGTCATTGCTGTTATCGAAACAGATGCGAAAATGAACCTATTTAACGTAGAAGCTTGCTCATATTTATTGAGAAGTTGGCCGTAAACCGCATGACAATCTTCATCGGTTTGTTATGTAACATGAAAAAGGGTTGACGACCCCAAATTGTTTAGGTCAATATCTCAACATGTACCATATAAGTACAATATATTTGAAAATGGTAAACACAATCTAGGTATTTCATTTAAAAGTACGATTCTACCTTAAAGTTGCATCCCCGCTTTGTATTATATACAGAACACCCCCCAAAGATTGTCGTGATTGCCATAAACATTTGTAAAACTATTTGTTTGGCTACAAATCGTGAAATATTGGATGGAGTACTGATGCTAGCCGCCGACACTTAAGATCCTGATAGCCAAATCTAACATAATTGTAATTGTTGTAATCACTGCACGTTAAATTATTTTAGGAGGTTTTTCTGAATTCGATTGGATTATGTTTCTCATAAACTGTACAAAATCCAGCCTCCTTATCATACTTTACAGGTCAGTGAGATGTTTTCTACAGGTCATACAAATGTATAATGCAAATATCTTGCAATCCGCTCACACTAGTCTGTATACAGGAAGAGGAAATACAATCAGTCGATTAGCGCAAATTAGTCGAGGAAGTACATTAAAATTTCGTTTTATATAAATCCGGAGGTGGCATCAATAAGTTAAATGTTAGTATATGGTCAGAATATCTAACAGACGTTGGAATTTCCCAGTGTTTACAGTTGAGGGGGCTGTGCAATTTCCTCAAAAAACGTTTGTTCTTGAAACCCTTCGAGTATGTTAACAACAACAACTTCGATTGTAGTCCCCAAATTCAATTAAACACGTGGAGTTGTTACCTGTTGTGTAAATGAAGAATTGCTTCCTTGCAAAAAGTCACCAGTAGAGTGGTTAGCAACGGCACTCAATTAATCTGAAAATCTAGGGTATTGGATGTTGCTGCAAATACAAATATATCTCTTTTTGAAGATATCTACCTCTCGAGGTATATTACAAAATCAGTTCTATACATATTGTAGAATAAAATGAGCATGGGTATCGTTTGAAAAAAACAATTTTAACATCATAAGATTGAAACATCAATGCATACAATAGATATTTCATCAGCAATATACTAAGAATAGTGTCCGAAATACATTTTAGAGTTTAAGGGAAAATACATCAAATGATGGAATGTTAATAATCAACGCACATGCGTAGTAGTGTTTATTACTACTTTGGTATGTATCGCAAACGTAACGTTTTTAAGTTTATGATAAATTCTAATCGGATTTGGTCTACGGTATGGAGTGTCCAACAATAAAATTTAGACTTTCCGTTTTCGACATTGTGAAATTCTTTCGTTTTTTGGGAGAAAAAATCCTTGAAAAACTAATTTTGACAACATAATTCAGACATTTATAATTACTGATTATGAAAGAAAATTACAGAAAAAAAGATAATTTGCTATACTCTCTATATTTTTGCCTTTTATTTGTCTTGAATTATGACTGGAAGAAGCTGAATGGAATTACAAACTAGTGTGGTGTGCTCAATAACTTATGTATGAACAAAAACTTTAATAAATATGATTTTACTTGGTAAAAATACTGTATTTTTCTTCATAAAAAACAATTTCACAATGTCGAAAACGGAATGTCTTTATCGACAGGTTGAAATTATTTAGCGTAAATCTCAAAAACATAATCTTCATTGATAGATTGAAATTATGATAAAAATTGTCATTATTCGAGTGAAAAATATATGAATCACACTATTATTCAGGGAATAAATAAGTAATAACAAAATAACAAATGTGATATAAAAAACGAAATTTCACACATCTGCTGTGTCTCAAGTCCCCTGTATATATATAACAAACAAACAAACATCCATAAACTTATACTGCGTCACTGTCTTTGATCTCAAAATATGGCAAGGCCTTATAACGCGCGCGCACTCACATGACATGGAAACGTAATATAGTGAACACCGCCCACAGCGACGAGATTGGTAATGCGTGGTAAGGGATAAACCATTTGAAAAGTCATGAGGGTGGTTGGAAGAGTTGAGCAGTGCATTTTTTCTCAGTGTCTAATCTCTACATTTTCTTGATTGTGACCATGTTCGCCAGCCAAGGACCATTTATTCGGCCGAAGTTTCAACATTAACCCTTGACAGATTTCTCCACGATTTACTGTATGTCGCACGCCCGCAAACGATTATAAGATTCACTTCGGCTCATTTGCATCACCCAATCAGAACTCACGAAAGAAACAACACATTTCTTGGTAAAATTAAAATGGCGGAATCAAATAAACGTATTGCTAGCTTTTTCTCTGAACGAGCTTAATGATCACTAAAATAAAGCGCTTAGTGATGTATCTGAGGAAAATGACGTGTTTGTTGCAAACACAGTCCCTGGACTGTGTTGCATCGAGGACCGAATCGGGAAAGTCGATATGTTATCAGTTTTGTCAGTTTACTAAAACACAGTTTGCACAAATATTTAGACATTCCATCGCCCTCATTCACTTGCCCACAAACAATTTTCAACGTTGGAATAAGAATTTCAAATTTCATAATTTCAAATTGACGACCCTAAGTCGAATCACATAAAATTATATATCAATTCTAAAATCAATAAATTTGATTAGCGATGACATTTACTGTTTTATTTATTGTCGTTATTATCGCTGTATAACGATACAGTTTTGTCAGTTTACTAAAACACAGTTTGCACAAATATTTAGACATTCCATCGCCCTCATTCACTTGCCCACAAACAATTTTCAACGTTGGAATAAGAATTTCAAATTTCATAATTTCAAATTGACGACACTAAGTCGAATCACATAAAATTATATATCAATTCTAAAATCAATAAATTTGATTAGCGATGACATCTACTGTTTTATTTATTGTCGTTATTATCGCTGTATAACCACGATCTGTTTACGAATACGTCCTACATGAAACATTGTAGTTCGATGTCTCACGTTGACACAAGTGTGTTTGTTTTTTAAATTACTTCAACATCAAACAAATTGTCAGGAAAACTGTTTTCATTACACTTGAAAACACGTTTCACCTGAAACTAAGACACTTACAAATCCTCAACTTGTAATAAATCTTCGGCAAATGACATCACTCCCATGTGGCTCGAAACACCAAACCGTGGTTGAGTAGCCAAACCCGCTAAATGCCGCCTAAATTTCAGATTTTTCTTCTAGACACAATAAATCTATGGCATATGACAACGCTCCGCTGTTAATTGGACTATCAAAACACGGTTGAGTAGCCAACCCAACCAAAAGCCACAGTTCATCACGACCGCAAACACTTTTCATCTGAAAGTAAGACTTTTTTATGACTTTTTGTTTATTCAAACATATAATAAATCTTGCACATGACAACACTCCGATGTGATTTGTTCTATCAAACTACGGTGGAGTAGCCAACCTCTGCTGAAGTTTACTAAAGAAAGTTCGATTGCACAAGTATGGCAAGGTCAAGTAATGTACATTACGGTGATTAAATTGGTAAAAGTATTGTGTTGTTGTCTACATCGACGAAGTAAATCAAAAGCCCCAGTTCTACTCACGGCCAAGTTTAAATTATGACTTTGTGTGTTTGTATTGCTGGTGACAACATAAACGCATAAATGACCCATAAATAAATCAATGACCTCGAAAAACACAAAAAAACGCACTTTGTGAGTTTAAAATGTTTAACATTTGAGATGGTTTATTCAAACAGCGTTTTAATTACCGCGACAAACACTTCCAAATAGTGAAACACAACTATATACTATATATCGATTGAAGAGTGACTTTAATTAAAATTGCATACAGTAATACTTTCTCAGACAGAGTGCAGGCATTTCATTCATAAATTACATACAGTAATACTTTCTCAGACAGAGTGCAGGCAATTCATTCATAAATTACATACAGTAATACTTTCTCAGACAGAGTGCAGGCATTTCATTCATAAATTACATACAGTAATACTTTCTCAGACAGAGTGCAGGCAATTCATTCATAAATTGCATACAGTAATACTTTCTCAGACAGAGTGCAGGCATTTCATTCATAAATTGCATTAACTCACTTATAAGTCGGTAATCATTGAACGAATTTTGACTCAAAAACTATCAGCTGGATTGTGAAAATCTGCTGACTTTGATGTTTCGATTGTTAAATTGGGCATTCAATTATAGGTTTGTATGTCACCCCGTCTCAGTACTATACAGCAACACTCAATAATCTATAGTTCAATGGACGATGGGAAAGTATAATAGACCAAAACATACACACACAAATGTACACGCATTTTGCAAACATTGAATGCCTTGGATTTCGAGGATTGTTAGCATGTTTAGCATGAATGTTTTTTACTTACTTATTGATAGCAAGTAGATTGGACTTACAGGACTGTGTGTCGGGAGGTGATAGAAGCATACATTCATATGAACCGTACGAGACGCGGAAAGTGGGCGTGGCAGTCGAGTTTAGAAATACATACATTTAGAAATTTACAGATTAACTACTGGAGTAGTTTTGTGGTATGTAGACTTATATGGATATGAATATCTACCGTTTTTCATATTGTTTTAAGCCAAAATGACGTGGTGAAATGTCATGCAACGTATTCTATTTATGATAATGATTTGAAAAAAGCTTAATAAATGCTGTCTAAAATGTAGTGCGTTCTTTGTATATTCATAGCATCGTGAAACTGTATTTCGTTTGTATTTATTTAGTGCAACAAAAGTCTTTAGAGCTAAGATATAGGGACAATCACGCAGTAAATAATATTAAATATAATAAAGTTAACATTGGCGTATTCTCCTAGATACACGGTACGGGGTGACCTGTCATTATAATGGCACTGAGAGTGATTTAAATGTACCGTACCAAAAGACGTATTGTCCACGGTTTACAGTACGATCTGTGGAACAATACGAGGCTGCTATATATAAAGAACACATCGCACAGGTGGATGTACAGTGTTCTGCCATCAACCAAAGCCATCACATCTCAACACCCATCTCAACACAGTCATGACTTCCAAGGACAGTAAGATGAAGCCTGGTAAGTATTCTTTCATAGATCTGTCAGAGAAAAAATTTAATCACACTTTCCATGTTAACATTCCATGTTATATAGGGTTGCTGGTACTTCACATACAACCATTGACCATTTGGTAACTAATATCACGGATCATTTCTTTGAATGTGGTAGTATACACTCTGATATCACTGATCGTTTCTCCATTTTTGTCATAATTAAGACCCATGTTTCCAGATAAGATAAAACCCTGTATAAATAAAATTTTGATAATTAACAATGTTGACGTTTTTTGGCTGACTTGGGCAACGTTTCCTGGCAAAAGGTGTGATTGTTTCGACCTAAATATGGCATATACACAATTTTATGACATCTTCTCGAAAGTCTCATCAGAACATCTCAAGTTGAAGAAAGTCCCAAAGAGGAGTTCAGCTCGTAAGCCTTAGTTAACCAAAGGGCTCAATAAATTACTAAAATGAAAAGGGACCCCCCCAAATCATCAACATTTAAATAATTATAAATCGTACAGGAAGTTATTTACCAAGCTGCTCAAGTCAGGCAAAAAATGCGTTACTCAAGTAAATTTTCACTTTACGCCAATACCAATAACAAATTGGAAAGTTATTAACGAAATCCTAAACAAATGTAAGATAGTTCCAATCCTTTAAATTCAGCAGATGACCTGTGGTGCTGATATTGGTGAGGAATTTAATGAATTCTTCACCATTGTTGGCCCTAACCTCCCATCTAATATAACTAATGCTGGTGATTTTAGAAACTATCTTAACAATAATCAAATTAATTCTTTGTTTGTCGCCCTGTTTAATTGAAATCACTGAATTGGACTGAAATAAATCTGCTGGTCAGGACCAAATCCACCTCGAAATAATTGTATTATTGCTCGCCCCTTGCCCACATTATGAATTATTCACTAGCCAATGTGTTTTCCATTCCCCACTGAAAATAGCTAAAATTTTCAAAAATTATTCCCCAAACCGAGGCCAGTAATTATCGTCCGATTTCAATTCTTAAAGCTCTTAGTAAGGTGTTTGAATCTGTTGTTAATAAATAAACAATTCATTAACTTCCTTGATAAATATGACATACTTTCAGACTAACAGTTTGGTTTTCGGAGAAAACATAGCACCAATTAATTTAATTTAATTTAATAATTTAATTTAATTTAATTTAATTTAATTTAATTACAATGTATTATTATATCTCAACTGTCATTATTGACAAATAATTTTGCTATTTATTGGTCAAACGCTTTTCCCCTCTGCAGTTTATGTTATGTAATCAGTGCCTTCATGTACATATTATTTATTTATTGATTTATATTATCACTTGCTTGTTTGTTAACTATGAAATGGGTTACAGGCCCGACTATTTCAGTGATCCCCACCACAAAATGCTTCTTTTTTCCTTCTGGTGAAATTAATTAATTAATTTATTCCTTCATTCACTCCTTCCTTCCTTCCTTCATTCATTCATTCATTCCTTTTTTCATTCATTCATTCATTTATTCATTCATTCATTCATATATATAATATATCGATAATCGCTCAAGCTATGTGATGTTTAAAATCATAAACACGCAATAACGACTCTTTTAAAACTTCGGCCGAAGCGCGTAACATTTTTAAAATCCCTATCACTGTTCATGGGACAGTCACAGCTTTAGGTTTTACTTTAATTTACACAGTTATGGGTAAACACAACATTTTACTCTCTCGTGCTAGCTCTTCAGTGACGATAAAATGACAACCCATCGGGCCATTCACTTGTATCTATGGTAACGGTCATTTAATATCACATTTATCTACTTATGTAATAATACTATTATTGCATTTATCATCTCCTTCTTTCAGGTAAATTTGACTACATCATTGTTGGTGCCGGCCCAGCTGGACTTCAAATGGGCTACTTTTTGATGAAAAAGAAGCGTAGTTACATTATCTTGGAAAATAAAGACATACCAGGATCGTTTTTCAGAAAACATCCAGTTCATCGTACTCTGATATCGCTCAATAAAAGGTTCAACCCATTCCCAGAACCGGAATACAACATGCGACATGACTGGAACTCGTTGCTAAGCGATGATCCCGAACTCCGCTTTACTAAGTACTCTAAAGAGCTGTTCCCACACGCCGATGATATAGTTCGCTACATGAATGATTATGCCACTAAGCTTGACCTGAATATTTGTTACAACACTCGAGTAGAGAAGATAAAAAGGCTGGAAAGTGGACCAAATTCTAGTGAAAATTTCTCTCTGCGCACGACCAAGGGCGAGTATCGATGCAAAGTTCTGTTGATGGCGACCGGTGCCCGCTCTGAACGAATTCCCGATCATATCAAAGGCAAAGAGCTCATGGAGACGTACTCTACACACGACGTCAACCCCGAGAAATACAACGGGAAATCCGTATTTATTCTTGGTAATGGCAACAGTGCTTTCGAAGCTGCTAACAACCTTGCTGGGTCAGCTAGTTTGATACATATATTTGGAGATCGGAAGTTAAAGCATGCTTGGGACACTCACTTTGTAGGTAAGTAAATAGGATGTTTCAGGCTGCAGATAATTCAGCATTTATCACATACTACATGGTAATGTGATGTTCAGTCGACATTCTTGTACACTAAGCACCACCCATATTCAATATTCCATATTTGGTGAACACCCCAGATGTTATGCCATACTTTATTCAATATTTTATATTTACTAATTCGACATTATATTATGCACACATAATCAATCATAGTATTTCGTGTCTGCTCTTAATTCGACATTCCATATATGACATGGCTTTAATACATGTATCTGATGCACAGTTCTAACTTTCTTCGACAGGTGACCTTAGAGCTGTTAACGATACTATACTTGACATGTACCAGTTGAAATCTCTGCACGTTTACCAGGCACTAGACTTATTATCTGTGGAGAAAACAGACAAAGGTTTTGTCCTTACTTGTGACGACATTGTTCCTCACTGGAAAGAAAGACAAGGCCATGTGCAGTTTGAATTACCTCCATATGATCACGTGATCTGTTGTACCGGATTCAATTATATTGATTTGTCAATATTTGACGACAATTGCAAACCAGGTAAATGATAAATAATATCGAGGAGGTGCTTGCTAGAAGTCAAATTGCAGATACATAAAAGATAATACAGTGAATATCGAATTCATATCTTAAGAATCCAGTTCGGCGTTTGTCCTATATACTCTATACGGTTTATGAGAACACAGGCATAAATTAATGAAGTACAATCCATATGTGTTAAATACTACATTATGTCGATATCTCCACAAATTAACCATCCAACACACTGTAATATATGTCAGTACAACGTTGTTTAGTAACAAGTCTTTTCACAATGGGCTTTTATATTCGATATACTTTATTTTCGCTGGAATTAATTTTCGCTGAAAAGACTTTTTGGGCGTTTTGTGTGGAATTTATTTTCACTGACTTTTGATGAGTTGAATGTGAAGTATAGGAAAAAAAGTATATTCGCTGGATTTTATTTTCACGGAATCATCCCTTCAGTGAAAATGGCGAAAATAAATTCGAAAGCAATTCTGTGTTAAAATAACTCTTCATGTGTGTGTTTTTTTTCATATAGATACCAAGAAGAACGGCAAGTTTCCATCTTTGTCTAATATATGGGAATCTAGCATCCCCAATATGTTTTATATGGGCACAACAATGCAGTGCAACGACAGGAAAGCTGCATCCGGGTTTATTCATGGTTTCCGATACAACATACGTACATTGCATAGCTTACTTGAAGAACGTTACGAAGATCTCCCATACCCACGTGACCTTCTTCCGATTGAAATTGAAACGCTCGCGGACAAGATCGTGGGTAAATATAATACATACCTATAACGTTCGTGTAGAAAACTCCGTGCGAGCAAAGAGAATTGAGCAGATTGCTAATCAAATTTGTTCGTTTTTCAGAACGTGTAAGCGTTGGCGATGGTATATATCAGATGAACAACGCTCTGTGTCACGTGTTAGCTATACCCGATTTCGCTGACGACATGAAGGGAGAAGTTAAAGCAGAATTTTATCAAGATTTCCCTAAACCATATGCACTTGAAGCAATTGAAAATGGGAGGTTCTCAAAATACAAGCACGTGTTCCTTATTGTACTGGCGTATGGATTTGAAGAGTAAGTGACATTATTGTGAATATAATCAGAAGTTGATGAAATGACGAATAATCATTGGACGATACAATGAAATGATATAAGGCAGATACATTAGACAGTTCATTGGCCATTATTGGGCGGGATCTAACGTGTTCATTACTAAAATGAAACTCGAAAATCTACAATTCCGACGCATCAAAAATTTTTGCCGAATAAAACAAGACTAAATAAAAGCCGAATAAAATGTGGGACTCAACGTCACTCAACCAATACCTATTTTAAAAGATGTTTAACAAACATAGGCGTGGATATGCTACCCCTTTCTATTTGAATTGAAAATGGGAGGTTCGTAAAATGCAAGACCTATGTCCTCTAAGGAGGGTGTTAAAAAGCGCTAGCCTGGGTGCTCAATCTCTTTCAATATTTCTATATTTGGATTATTTTACACGTGTTGTATACGTCGTTATGAGTCCCACATCGACGACCACCACCCTTTAAATATTACTATTGTTTGGCTCGCCTCTATTGTTCTAACCATAGTCCTTTGAGGTATTTAACGGCCTATTTGGGGCTTTTACTAAAACCACGCCACAAATAGGCCGTTAACTGCCGTTAGCGTCTTTGTGCTCGTACTTTAAAGCGGGGGAGTCATCACCTACGCATGCGTCAGATGGCCATAGCGTATCATTGTTTACAAAAAAGCGTCTACCCATGACCCTTTGCGTTTTTAGTGTGTGTTGTTATCGTCCCTTAGGACTCAATCTCCGCGCGTGCGCAGGTGACGACCCTCCCGCTTTAACTATCAGTAATCAGTGTTTTTACTGCTAAACTAAACCTCACCGAGAGATTTCAGGTTAGTATCATTACTCCAGATACTATATATGACACATACTCTACACTGTTTATTACTAGTTTTGGAGACGCCGGCAAATACGCCATGGAATTCGTACACTTTCCTGACCTAGCTACTGGTGATTGTCAAGCATTCCTGCATCCCGTGATTACCTATTACAAGGATGGTCAAGAAATTGATAAACTGAGATTACCCGAGTCTTTGGTACTGAGATTCGACATACCTTTGGTGAGGAACCAAAACCCTGTTGTAGGACAAAACAGGATGAAAAATTACATCAACAAACACGTAAGTACAGTGTCAGTCTGAACTCTACTTCTTTATTTGCCCCAGGGGTCCGACTTGTTGAAATACCTGGAACCCATGTCTGTGAAAGGGGTTTTCAAAATGACCCTAAACACATTTTAAAAGGTCAAAATTTCGTTCCCTTTTCACTGTTAGAAAGCTAAAATTCATATCCTAAATGCGTTGAGTGTTTTAAAATCTATTTACCTTGAACTCGCGCCTGATCTCGCGATATTTGAGCTTTCTAACCCTTCAGTGTAAGCACGGGTTGGTCATATGCCCGTCATATGCCGTGATCGCCCGTGATGGAGGGTCGTTAACCAGGGGGCCGGACGTTTTCCACGTTTTTGCGATCATTGAATTCCATAAAGCAATAAAAAAAACGATAATCTCATTTAAAAAATAACCACCCTTATCACGTTGGCTGTACCGGAAAAGACATCCTTTTTGTCTATTTTGACTGATTAATGGTAACCCTAAACGCGTAACCAGTTCATTCTTAAAGTCAGACCCCCGGGTTATTTGCATCCGGTTGTTAATTATGTTGATACAGTTTATAAGTAGTTTTTGCATTTTCATCCTACATTACAAATGAAGATATATAGATATTAAATTTATAGATAAAATTCTTTTGCGTCATCATTATCAAGACATAGAAAACATATATTTTCAATACTACTGCAAAACAGCGTGAACATTCGCGTAACCCTTACAGCTCGTATTCGTCGTACATGGCGATCGACTTTACGAACAACTGTACAATATCGGGTGTTATCTTACAGTGTATATATTGTCATGAATTTGTTTTTGCGTATCTGTTAACCGACTTAATTAGTTGATTACGAGCGAATTGATGTGTTATGTCTGTCATCGTTAAGGTCTATTTGAAGTTTTGGACGGAACTTGGCTCAGTGATTTGGAACTAATTACCAGATAACCACCGCTTTTTAGACTACTCATTCTGACAGTTTACATCCATAGTTATTAATGTAGTGAACGATTAATCAAAAGATATGACGTATTCAGTACTTAGTGTGATTGGCTTTATGATTGAAGACCCTAGAGTCTTTTTACTGTTTTGTAATTGGTTAGAGTTTTGAAAATGAATAAAGAGAGTTTGAGTTGGTCTTGGCGAATACTCCACGATAGACGCAGTAGAGAGAGAGCAGTCTGAGAGTCCGAGAGAGTCCAGGGGCGAGCCTTGAGGCAGTCCAGTCTTGGGCTAGTCTTGGGTCAGCCTTGCGAGAGTCTTGGGGATTTTTTCCCCAGGGCGCTGTGTCTTATAGAGTGCTCGATTGACCGACTAAGACGAGAGCTGAAACGTATTTCGTTGTGTGTGTCTTATTTGACTGTAAAGTATAAGTGACTTTCCCGATCCCGTACCTCAAGGGGACGAGATAGAGAGACGAGGCGAGATTCCCCCCTGACAAGTGTGGAGAACCCCAGAGAGAAGAGATTTACCCCTGATAATATCACGTATTTTCTATTTCAGTTGACTTTACAGCCCGGTAAGCATTTCTACGATAAATTCTTCATGGAGAAGATGTCCGAACGAGTGACTCCTTTCACAAGTGAAGAGATAAATAGAATACCAAACCTGAAAGTATACAAAGGATGCATTCCATTCAGTATTGACTTCATGTCGGCATCCTAGACCTAGCTTGCACATCAACTTTTTTACTTCAAGTGTCAGAGTAACAATATTAGCCAGATTGTAACGTCAATATGATACGCATTAATTTCATATTCGACGATTTTACGCAAATCTTGAACTAATTACTTAGGCATATTAAAATGAGGTAATAGGAATGCCAAGACCCATGTAACTAATAATAATAATATTTTTATTGCATTAGTCTCAGGTTCATACGCAACGTGAAAACACACAAAACAGTATTTGATCTCAGTTTTGAAAGTACAACGTGCTAGTCTGACGTTTTTAGAGGACGTCTACTTTCTTTTAAAACTTAAAAGTACGTTTTTCATACTTGTTCGGTAATATTGAATTTTGATCTGTTTTAGTTCAGTCATGATGAGCTTTTATTCCAATTACTTAACGCAATATTCCCCATAGTCCAAGTGACAAGAGAATATATGCTGTATTAATATACATATACGTGTTATATAGAGATAGATTATTCAAAATGATTTTTATATACAATGTATGTTTTATGCTAAACATCGTAATACAATGGAAAGTAGTAGTATAATCGTCGATATACCAATTATAATAAACACTGCGTTATGTTTCGTAATAACTTTATATAACGATATTGCACTATACATTGTTCTTAGATAATGTCGTTACCACAAGAAGGACATGTGTAACTACTGTAATTGGTCGATTATCTGCAAAATAATGTATATGGTTAATGTGATATTAAACTATGATGGTGACACAAAGACAATCTGGGTCCGAGTCAATTGTATATTACATCAGTTAAGGTAGCAACAATCGTGAAACGTGGTAAATATCAGTGATTCAGACATTCTCTGATACTGTGTAAAAACATTTACAGTTCCGTATTCAGTTTATTTTAAGCTTTCTCTACGCGATTCTTGGTCAATGCGCCAACATTATCTAGCGGCGCAGGCTGTAAAAGCGCTCCATACACTTTATCTTTATATTTGACACAAACTTTTTTCCAATAATGCAATACGGAAGTGAAATTCTAGGTCATTTTGAAAATGTTAATTTGTTTGCTTCACATGTCTATACACCTTTATTACGAAATATACAATCATTTTTGTTTAATATAAACATATCTAAGATTTTTTCAGACTTTGCAAACATAGCCTGAAATGAGATAATTGATATGCAAATTAGATACCTAATATGCACGGACATGGCCCTAAACCGATTCATGTTTGCCCATTAACCCAATGTGCCTTGGTACCAAATTGGACTTAAATCCGCTTTGAAGGTTTTGAGATTTTGCAAGCAAATTAGATACTTAATATACACGAAAATGGACACAAAACAAAGCATGTACGAATCCACTTCACATGCTCAGAAGATATATCACGTGTCCGAGACTGTCTGTTTTAACATTGATCAGTCAATGGCATGCGGAAATGGCCGTTGTGACGTAATTGGTATCACACTGAACTGAATAAACCCAATGTTTATCTAGTTACTAGTAAGACGGCGATTAGGTGCCGTACGCGAGCGCCGGTTCGAGTCACGCACGCAGTACATATTTACTATAATTCGACGTAGTTTATTCAAAATACGATACATATGTAAAACAAAACTTAAAGGGGCACTTCCAGATAGATTAATTTTGTAAACAACATTAACAATAGTGTCCCATGATTCTTTGGTGCAATCTATGGGGTTGAGCGGTTCCCCTTTAATAACGGCAAGTGAATCAAAAAAATATCCGTAAATAAACAAAAATAACAATAAAAAATATACATGAAAAAAGAAAAAAAATGGAGCCTATACCTACGTCGAATTTTAATTACTGACAACACCACAACATTGTTTCAAACATCAACATTACCAGCTATGTTTCTGACTGGTTTATTATGCGCGTCTCGAGATAGTCATGTGATTAGAACTTGTTAGTTCAAACCACTTTTAAGAGGGTGTGCCGTACGGCCCATAGACACCATCGCATGTGTCCATACATTTCATACTCCGTAAATAAATAACTTTGCCATTCAATTATATAGAAAGAATTGATTGAATAAAATATATTGAAAAGCAGTCTCATCGTGATCTTCTATTTATATACCGATGTGTCCCCTACTATTAGTTTGATATTTCCTGTTCAGATCGGATTGACCCAACTTGTTCTAATCTAGTAACGTTCTCCAAGCACACTTAGCAAACCAGTCATCAACTTAGCTGGCTATGTTGCTGTTTTGGTGTTCAGAACAATATGGCGGTGACAGTAAATTGACGCTGAACTGTACAATGAACAATGTATATGCTTCATCAACAGACTATGCTAAAACAACGTGTTATGGTTTCCCTCTGATGAGTTTGACTGGTATTAAATCTAAAACGATTTCAAAGTTATCGATACAATAAATGAATATTGTGAATGAACAACGGGCAACGGCGTGGGTCTCTAGCGTAATTAGCTCGTCATTATTTCTTGTATGTTGCCCGTAACTCGAAGTTCGGTTAAATAATAATTGGACAACGAGGTACAACTTTGGCGTGGTTTCGTAAAAGTGGGCGTGGTTTACTAAAATATGGGTGTGGTTATTTTTGTAACTCGATGATGGCTCCTGCATAGTGTTAAATTCAAATAGTCGGCTAAACCTGAGTTTAACTAAAAAAATATCATGTACTCGAACAGGAACCATCAAATCATTATCAAGTTAAGAGAAATACTACTATGATAAACACAGTACTAGTAGAACAGCTTAGTTTAAAGTTCACTATGATAAAAAAGTACTTAATTTACCCAACATTCCCCTGTAATTATATGGCGTAGTTCAGGCAAAACTTTGACAGTTCCCCATAAACTTAATGCCTGCATCATTTTAATGCAACATTACTTTCACTTAGGTAATTTTCTTGTCATTATTTTGGGGGTTGAGATTCACAGTGTCATAATTTCAAGCTATAATCTATGTGGGGAGGGGCAACCAACAAATTTGCATTTATTATAAAGATATTTTCTATATTGCGTGTTCTTCTGAATCGCGATGACAGTTTACCAATCACAAAACGATAGGATGGTTGTGACATTGGCGACAATCTACATTATTTATTTATATACAAATCATATGCAAGTAGTTTGCATAATATAATATAATATAATATAATATAATATAATATAATATAATATAATATAATATAATATAATATAATATAATATAATATAATATAATATAATATAATATAATATAATATAATATAATATAATATAATATAATATAATATAATATAATATAATATAATATAATATAATATAATATAATATAATATAATATAAGTACAAGTCTCGTCTACGTTCAGTAAAATTATATTACTGATTTGTTTTATTGTTCATAAATGATTGACATACCTGGTGAGATTTACTTGAACATAAAAATGGAATAAATTGACATTCCACGCCTCGCACAAACACAAACAATGGATTAAGCACCGGTGTATAATATATCGATGTTTTTTTTATATAATTCAATTAATAATATATGTATCCATTTTCACGAGTTTTCAGAATATATACCACACTTTGTGATTACATATATCTTTAATCTGTAAAATACATGAAAATAATGTTGTTTAAAAAAGCTGATAAAATAATATAATAAATACAGTAACCTAATCCTCACATAATCACTCTAGAATTAGCAGTTATCTCTAGATTCGATAAGTTACTTGTATTTAACTGTAATTTAATTATTTTTTACATGAAACCTGTGATCACTACGCATAATAGTGATGTATCTTTGAGAGTACATTATATCGGTGGTCGTTGTTACTCATGCATTATTAATAATTTTATTCTGACTATTGAAAACACCGTGTTTCTAATATGCTCAGTCACGCGATTCACCTGTGAATTGCACCAGATGTTCTTAACGCCACAGGCTAGATAATCGCGTCTCGGTTTTTTTTATTATCTGGCTTTGTGATTAAGTACGACCTAATAAATACAGAGATCTACTGGCTACGTCCTGAGTAATTCACGGGTCATTCGAGTGAATGAAAGTGTTAAAATGGTGTTTTCATAGTCGTAATAATAATAGTTGCATGCTTAGTTATTTTTACAGATGTAACACGTTTACCCCTGCTGCTATCTTATTTGACTTGACTATGTTCATCTTCTATAGAAAGAATGATGTCAATAAAACCGCGGTTCTCACTACAACATGTGCAGACAAACTTTGTTTGAAATCAAATGCTTTTCTCAGATAATATATCCTTGCCGTATTGACCATGACGAAAATATATCGCCTTGGAAAGATGGACTATCATATTGTCTCTTCTTGATGAAGTCTGTTCATTTCAAATGAAGTAAACAAAACTGGGGCTCAAACTATTGAACATATTTGGAGTGCGTTTGTACATTTCAATTTGAGTATATGTTAATTCGGGGATAAAACCACTTGCACTGCGAGTATATGATAACCTAGATAACATACGTTGGAATTTACAGTTAAGGGGTCTGTGCACTTATAATAATTGTAAGGCGAATGTAGATAAAATGACCCCTTACAGTGCCCTCAGTGGACGAATTGATTAAACCTACAGAATGTGTGAACGATCAAATATTTAGCCGAAAGAAAATCAAACCCCACCACCCGCTCCCATTTTGACCCCCTCAACAATTTGACAAGAAACACTTGTTTTGCAAGATTTTAGAAAAGTTGGATTCCGATTCTAATTACCTTCGAAATAGAGAACAACGCTTTCTGCCGAGAGAGGAAAAGGATAGGAAGATCAGTCGCGTTTTGTTGAGAAACGACACACCCGCTACAATCATTGACTTCCTCGTTAATCATCACCAGCCTATACTAGTATACTGAAAATGCCAATTCGGTATACCTGCAGTGGTTCTACATAAGAGGTGACTGACAGGGCACTCACTGCCTGTGCAGTCTCAAAAGGTTGTAAAAGTAGGCATTGCCGTACCGATAAGGGTCGCCAGACCTGAGGTGGAATCGAACAATCTTGCGATTGTCTTGTGAAGCATTTCAATGGACGTACTGCGTACCTGTGCTGTAAAGTTCATTGATTTTGAACAAAGTTGTCTGGCTATATATGTCTATATATATACGCTGACCTAATTGTCATACAAAGGCGAAGGTGGGGTGATGTGGCGTGGACTACTTTACCAGAGTCACACAAGCCGAGTTCGCTATCGATGGAATAGTCTGTATAGCTGTATATAACTCAGTTGTTTAGTGACCTCAAAACAACACCCCCCCCAAAAAAAAAACAACCTTCAAACCTTGGTCCTGGAAAAGAAGTTACCACACTAATCGTGATATCATTGCGCTACATTTAGAGGGGCCTATTCGCACGAAAAATTACCGACTGAGTTCAGCTGGCTACCATACAAATTCGACACCTAAACTTAAAAATGACCAAGCGAAGCTTTTGCTTCCCTCGAGATGATACCAGTGAGCCAAATTTTCCAGTCCTCCCTCATGGCCTAAAACGATTCAGCAGGTTGATCACTCAAATGAACGTGAACTTAGTGGGGAAAAGTAGCGTCACATGAGTGTACACAAACGTTGTTATTGAAGCGAAACTCGTGAAAAATTTATACAATTTGGTTAAAAAACTCACGCTATGTTATATTCAAGAAATGTACCTATACAACTTTGAGTCTAACAATCAGCACTGCGAGTAGGGGTGGTAACAACTGCACAGTTATTTCGGTCATTTAACAGTCGAACGTGATAAACGAGACAGTCGCGGAGAACCTAAACACAC